AATTGATTTATATTGGTGTATATATGCGAGAGATTAAAATTGATGAAAAATGTCAAGATTCACATGGTCCTAAAATTATCCTACATTCTTGTTTCCTTTTACTTGCTTCCTCATTAAATTTCACGTATTCAGCTTAACCTATTAACATCATTCGAGTTCATTAATTTCACGTTAACAACTCTTTGGAAATAATTAAATGGAAATTGGTGAATTATTATACCAATTGCAGCCTCGTTTAAGTTGGTCCTTTACCTGAATTACTAAAATTTTGTTGCATTGGCTATTTATACCGACTACTAGCGGTGGGTCTTATTCGCCTTTTACCTAAATACCTAAAATTTGGTTTACTAGCTTTCCACATTCGAACTACTGACAATAAGATAGCTTCTTTCGTGTTCTATTTCTATCGCTGGAAGAATGACAAAAAAAATCGTGGCAGAGGACGCGTTACAAAATTGATATAAAATTAAATAAATAAATGAACCAAATTTACAAGAAGTATATTTCGTTCGAAATAAATAATTTTAATTTATCAATATTTTCAAAATATAAATGGTCAGTATTGCGTAAAAGACTCAGGATTGCGTATTGTATAAAAAATTCATGATTTTATTAATAGATGTAATATTAGCCGCTTATTTGAACTTTATTGAATAGAAAATATCCAAAATAAAAATAATTATATATTTTCTTTTTTTTTTCCAAATATTTCTTTGACCAATTTTCCTCCCCCCCCCCCCAAATCGGAGATTTCTTAAGGCAAAAAACATTACGAAGTAAATTCGGTTGCCATCGCGTTAATCAAATTATTAGCCTCAGAACGACACCTTACGTTTCCTTTTCCTAACACTTTCAAGCAGCTACGGATTTCGCTCGTTAACTTTCGCAACTTTCGGATAACATCCAAATTATAAGGGGCCATTAAAGCCTCGGCCGGCCAGTCTGATCCTCTTATATGGAAGCAGCCGCAAATGACCTTGTTTTCTCTCTCTCTCTCTCTCTCCCTTAAAAAGTTATTAAGATCTAAAAACGAGTTAAAAACATGCTCAACCAAAGGTAAAAATGTTTTCGAAGCGAGATAATACTGCAAAGTATCTCTACCTACTAATTTGTAATGTTACTTTTAATTAATTAATTACTACAAACGATACTGCAAACGTAATTCTCAATTTTACTCTACTTTCATTTCTTTGACTTTTCTTTTCTTTTTCTTTTTGAATAATTGCTCGGATAATGAACCAATTCTTTCTTTCTCTTTTTCTTTTTCTTTCTTTCTTTTTTTTTTTTACAGAGAACGAAGTTGTCTCTTTTATCAAAGATTTTTGACTTCTTTCACATTGGAATGATTCACTGGTACGAACGGAACGAGAGAAAGAACGAACGATTCGATCAATATTCAACGTGTATAACGTTATATACATCCATACGTAACACACACACACACACACATATATGCATGCATAGATCCATACATGCATTTTGACATCTTGAACAGATGTAACGAAATCCGATATTTCGTACCTCGGTGAAATGTCCTTCACATTTCACATAGGAATTTTCTTTTTAAATTTCGTATTTTCACGATCACTGGTTATATATTCCCTCGGGAGAATAAATTTATCTCATCAATTGCGGCATGATCGATTTAGAAACCTACTGGACGCGAAATATCCCTACCGAAATCATTTTCTTTTAATTCCTTTCGAAAATCATTTTCCTATTTTTAAAAAATATCATTCCGATTAAATATTATTCATCATTCATCATCATCATCATCATCATCATAGATTTTCATTAATTACGTTTTTTTTTACTTTAATACTTTCACGATAATTTTGATTTAAATTGACATATTTTAACCGCGAGAAACACTATCAACACGATCAATGTTTATTATATTGTATAAAAAAGAAAAGTGTTGTATATAGTATATAAAGGATGTTTTAAACAAAAATTTACATACAAGATGATGATTAATTTTGTTTTTTTTTTTTTCAATATGATGGAAAGTTGACAAATTAACATATACATCAAATAAATCTCCTAATTGATTGAAATAATAAAGTAATGTATGAAATAAATAAAATAGAAAACTGATGATCATAGAGAGCAAGAAAGATAGAGAATACATTTTTATCGTTGACTGTATCCTACCACACACACACACACACACAACAGATGTTCGTTCCACGTATTTCGTGCGTATGTTTAAAGGATAAAATGGCATTATGGTTATAACAGAATGACACGGAAGTGTGAAAGAAAGAAAGAGGAGAGGTCATCGTAGTTTCCGTTAAATGCGTTAATATGTATTTTATATCAGTGTGTACGTGTATATACGTGGTGCAAAGCTGGCAAATGAATGAACAAGAAGAAAAAAAAGAGAAAAAAAAAATAGGAAGGAAGTAGCACACAGCCTTCAGCGGCTATTTTTTTTTCCTCACTCTTCCTTCCTTCCTCTCTCTCTCTCTCTCTCTTTCTTTTTTTTTCTTTCTCTCTTCCTTGCTCTCTTTGAAACTCTCGTTTCATGGCATCACCACCCACACCTCATTTTCATGCTCCTGTCAAATTAGGGCTACTGCTACTTCCATTTCCATGAAACGTGTGATGCCATCGTCGTTCTCGACTACTCGCTAATTCTCTCTCTCTCTCTCTCTCTTTTTTTTCTTTTTTTTTTTTTTTCGTCATTTTTAGGTCATATCTGTTAGTATGACCGTAGATAGGAAGGATTAGTCAAACCAAAACTGATAACGTTCGTTCGATATTTCATCGACACACTTTTTTTTATATTATATATTTTTTCTAATATATATATATATATTTATATAGTTTATAATAATTAAAATTCTATATATTTTTTTTTTTTTTTTATTAATATACTGATTGTTACAATTTCTTCTCGTTCGTACAACGCCGCCTTTTTTTTCTTATTTTTATATTTGTTCGTTGTAAAATTGTATTTGAGAAGATTGTAAAAAAATTTGATCAAATAAGTATTTTTCTATTTGTGCGTGTGTGTGTGTGTTTTTTTTAAAGATTATATACAATACATACCACTAAAAAAAGATTTTGTGACAAAAAAAATTCGTTTGTTTAATCAACACCGTTGCTTATCGTTATTTTCAATTTGTTTTATATTCGTAACAATTGAAAAATTCATGAAAATATAGAAAATTTGGAAAAAATCGAATAAACGTTTAACTATATACTTTCGAATATAAATTTTCTATTTAAATGTGTGTAAATGAGATCAAGACAAAGATCTTTTTTTTTAAATGTATTTGTATATAACTATTACATATGTAAAGACGTTTGCTAGATTTCGACAAGTTCAATGCGTTTGTGTGGTGGTTTCGGACGAGTTAATCTGAAACGGCGTTGAAATGATTTATCGTTGTACAACGCAACGTTAGCTAACCGTGCGAAGAATAAATCTATCCTCCACTTCCCCCCACACCTTCTCTCTTTTCCTCTTTTTTATTATTTTTTTATTTTTATTCCTTTTTTTTGTTTTTTTTTTTAATATATTTTTTTTTTTTAACTTCACAGTCAGGGAAAAGTTGGAAAACGTTTTTTTGAATTAAGGTCGTTGGGGAAACGTTCCTCTTTATCTTTTTTTTTTTTCTCTCTTTCTCACGAGATTAACAACATCTTACGCGAGAAATAAAGCAGTAACAACATCGATTTACCCATAATATTTTTATTTTTTATTTTATCTCTTTATTTTTTATTTTCTTCGATAAAAATAAAATAGTTTTTTGGCTTTGAATAATATTTGTTTGAGTCAGAATTTCATGAGCGAGAAGTTTGGTCAATTAATTTTTGAAATTGTTATTAAACACGTATTCAGTAATAATTTAGAAAAAAAATTGTGAGTATTTGATATTTAAATATAATTAGATAAATGTAATTGAATGAGTGACAGAAAAAGGGCTCATGTTAGATACTGCAGGTATTCATTTAATTAGTATAATAATAATATTGCAATAAACAATAATTAAGTGCTGATATTTTTAATACAAACAATACGAGTCTTATATTTATTTAAATAAAAAAGTAAATAAAAATGTCGAAGTTATTAGGTATAACTCGTTATATTATATTTAAGTTTAGAATTTAATATTAGTACGAAAGTTAGCGGTATTCTGATTAATTAACATCAAATTCTTTTTTGCTTAATTAACGTATTGCTATTCGGCCATTTGCTAGTCGTATATACGAAGAGAATATCGTTTTTGGTATTATGACATTTTCCGAGTTAGTTCAGCAAAGTACTATGAGAGCTCACTATTCAAAGGATTAACGAACTAGATATACATTTGCGATATATTCAAAAGCAAAGTCGTACTAACTTTTTTTTTTTTTTAAATAAGCTAATGATACCGTAGATTAACGTTCATGTAATTTAGATTTAGATTAAATATCGAGAAAATATGACAAAATATTTTCTAAGAAATATAATAAAAATTGAATGTTTAATAGAACACACATACACACACACACACACAGTAAATTTATTTAAAAATTTTCAGAAAAATATAAAACGTTGTGCAGAGATGGAAAAAAAAACAAAAACCCCAGAAACAAAGTTGTATACCTAATATATAATAAGAATTGATTTAAAATTCATTCGAGAATGAATTAGATATATCTAACGTAAATGATAAATATAATTCAAACACCATTACTTATATCGATCATTCCAAATATTTATCCCGAATATTCGAATCGACGTGTCGTATGTTTTTTAATTTGTCCAAAATTAAAATGATTCAAGATCCATGAGTTATTTGAAAAAAAAAAAAAATAAAAACGGCAAATATACAATGTATATGTGGAGAAAAAAATTGTAATACAGTATATGCTAACACATATAATAAAAGATCACGTAGAGAAAAAAAAGAAAAAAACATTTCGCAATTTTCAGGACTTAATCGATATTTTCGTTTTAATCGACGATGAAATAAGTTTTTCTATCTTCTGAATGATAACATACTTACCATTGAGAACATGAACAGCTATAGTTGTCTTGGATATTCCAGGTACCACGCAACTGTAGTTACCAGCATGCCTCGGGCTTGCTCTTTCCACGATCAGAGTAGTTACTATCACATAAACCTCCTTGCCCTCAGTCATCTCTGTAGTCCTGTTCTCGCTGGAAAACGAGATCGAATTTCTTTTACCTCAGTAATGTTACCTTAGATATAATCTTTTTCAAAGCACACCTCTTTTTCCCTCTCTCTCTCTCTCGATCTCTCTCTTTTTTTAATATTACAATATTTCTTTCCACCCCCCTCCCTCTCTTCACCACTCTTACTCTCTTATTTTTTCGCATGAAATTAGATTTTTTCTATAATTTATTACATGAGAATGCAATTAATTCATTAACACATTGCATGTGATAAATGAAAATATTAATCATATCACAATTTGAATAATTAATATTACTATTTAACAAGTTTATATATAAACAGTAAAAATATAAATATAAGAAAGTCAATGACACGTAATTGGACAAACGGCAATACAAACAAATGACAATAATTTGGACAAACGAATGAACAATGAAATTTTTTATTTTTAATGACTACTACTGGTCACTGGTATTCAATTAATGAATTTTGAATGACTTTGGTGTACATTACCAATCTCGAATGTGTTAATTATTATTACCTGTCTCAACTCCTCCTCGTTATATTTGATTCATTTTTGTTCTAATTTATTTTATTTCTCTTCTTCTTCTTCTTTTATTTACCACTTTTTCTTTCTTTATCTTTTCGTATACTTTGGCAAATCAAACTAAAGAAGAAATTAGCGTGAGATGGTTTGAGAGAAAGGGGGTTGTCTTTATTCGAGAGGAAGATGTTAAGCTACTGTTGAGAAACGGCAGCTTAGGTATGCAAGCTGCGTTATACACCAGGTTGTCTGATAATTTCATTAAGAAGCTTACTTAGATGTGTCTTGTGGAATATGTTAACGAACGTTAGTGTTGAAACATACTTTTCCTATATTTCTTATTCACCTTCTCTTTTGTTGTTTTACAAATATACTCTTTCACGGTTATATAAAATATTTTTCAAAAAACAAACGAACAAACTTTACGTAAAATTTTTTTTTATACAATATTCTGACGCAACGTTTCTTTTCTTCTTTTTTTTTTTCTTTTTTCTTTTTCATATTATAAAGATTTTCCACGCAAGAGAAAATTTAATTCGAGATTATGAGATACATTATTGGATTGGCTAATAATAAGTTTATGCACAGTTTCTGACACACACACATTTATTTATTTAATTAAAAATAATCGCGGGTATATTTCTTATAATATTTTGTTAATTTTTATTTATAGAGAAAAATAAACTTACCTAACATTTTCGATGAGTGTTTCATCTCCTCTTTTCCAGATGACCGTTTCATTTTGAGATTCTATGATATCCCTAGCCTCGCATCTCAAACGAAGTGCGCTTCCAGCTTTTAAATGTCTGTCCTTCGCAACTATTCTCCCAGAATCGTCCGTTATCGTTAAGATAGGTGCTGAAATGGGACAGAAAAAGAAACAAAAATCAATCAATCAAAAGGTTTACTTTCGTTTTACAATTAGAGTGAAACGAACAGGTTTTTCAACTAAATAAATACATCGATTTTTAATTATTCCATTTGTTAATAATTTGATAAGTTTATATAACATTAGTTTTTCAGTAATAAGTTTAATCGATTAAATTCTACTCGCGTGTACGTGTGTTTTTGAGTTTGGTATATGTTTTACACACAAAATTGTTTAATTAATTCATCAAATTAATTTTATATGTGTTATATGTTTGCAATTTTTTTTTTTTATATCGTACCGAATCAAATTAAAATATTGATTTATTTTATCGAATATTTTGGAGTAGGTAGATACATTTAAATTGTTCCAAAAAAAAACGAAAGATTTTGGAAATAATTCGAATTATCTCGAGAAATAAAAACAACATTTACCTATAATAAATTGACGATAAAGAACGGCCCCCGTGTTGGGTGCCGTATCTCTGAAAAATTCAAATTTCTCGCCTTTAAAATTGTCTCGTATTTTTCAATGAACCGAGATAAAAAAAAAAAGAAAATAATATACAAAGAAAGAGGATAGAGCGACCCTGATGGTTGTCTTCGTTTCTTTTTTCTTTAAAATAATGATAAATTTAAAAAAAAAGAAAAACATTACATATACATGATATTATCGGATTTTCCTATGATATTTTTCTATGTTACTCGTGCTTTTATCCGTTCAACAATCGTTTTATCTCTTCTATCCTTTTTGTAGAATATATTTTTGACGTACGGTTCGAAAACGCGCGTTTATCGAAACGAGGATTATTTTTCTAAGAAAATCGTCCTCAAGATTCAACGACAAATGCTTCGCCACGATTTTCAAGTCGATATGCAAATTTCAATCACCTCCACTTAACCCGCCCCCCCCTCCCCTTTGGCTCCCCCTTTAGAACCATAACTTTTCCATTCTTTTCTCTATATATACGCGGTTGATTCCCCCTTTTATTTCTCTTCCTCGTGTCGTTTGTTCTTTTTTCGAATCCATTAAATAAAATAATTATTTGATAAATTTACACAATATATTATCGTATTTGCGCGTGTCCTTTTTTTTTTTAAATCTACCAAAAACAAAATAATATTTTTAACAATTGTCCTTTTATTTATTTTGGCGAGTAGTGAAAAAACAAAACATTCGTTTTAATTAACAAACGGTGAGAGAAATACAAACGAATTCATTTAATTATTCGTTAATCGATTTGATTAATTGTTTAACTAATTACGATTAGGTTACATTTAAAATACAAAGTGAAAATGTTCAAAGGGAATAAGACACAAAATGGGTATATTATTCGTCTTTGGATGAAAAACATCGAATGAACAAAAAAAATTGTACAAACGCGAATGGTGGTACTTCAAGCGTAAATATCAATTACTTTGAAAGGGTGTTGATGGAAATACGAGTAATCATTTTGTGATAGAGATCCTCGGAGAACACTTTTTGATCAATATTCGTCGTATTACTGAATCGTGACATCGAATAGAATGGTTATCATAAATGTGTGTGTAACAATTATAATTATTTAAATATCTAATAATACTAATTACAACGTCTATAATGTATTATCTACTTAAGCAACGAATTTTGAATCTTATTTTGTGTGTTTTTATTTGTGAAGTTATTGTGAGTGTTCGTTAGAGTCTCGACGACGAAAATTTCACACACAAGATAATCTTTTTCTTTTTATATTTATTTTTGTATTATTTAAATTAAAGCAAATATTAATAGGAATCATATCCTATATCCCTTTTCTTTTTTTTTTTAGATTTCTCACAATAAGAGATAATAAAAATCTTTAATTTAATATATAAATTATTTCAATTATATAAATTATTTTTAGTCTAAATTTCTATAAAAACAAAAAACAAATCCAATAACGATCACCTTACAATCTACAAATTCAATCTAAAAATAGAAAAACGAAATGATAATGATAAAACATTCAAGTGAATATTAATAATTAATTGAAATACGATACAAAAATATATATATGTAAGATATTTTTTTTTAATAATCTTACATGGAGGATACAGACACACGAAATTCGAATTAATAATTCTTATACACGGTTAATACAAATTTTATTAATAAAAGTAATATAACGATACAAATCTTTTCTCTCTTTATTCATTACTTTCAGGTTGGCATACTCAAGACTCTCTTTTACTCTTTATTGTATTCTCCGTTCTCTTTGCTGATCCACTCAAGACTCAAGATTCAAGATTCAAGATTCAAGACTATTTTACACTCTGTTCTCTCTGCTGATCCACTCAGAACTCTATATTTTACTCTCATCTTCTGCTTGTCTGCTCAAGAATCAAGACTCAAGACTGACGTAATCTCATTCATACCCTTAATCCCTTATCCTACAACAACGAGTAACACTCGTGGTAAGAAATTTGAGCTAAAAATCATAAACACGAGCCTGTCTCGTGATATTTTGTTCGATGCAGATAGGTAATGTGCAAATTATCTAGGTAATTTGAGAAATAAAATAATTTTCTACATATTAACGGATCATCTTACAATTAATTAATTTTCAAATTACCTGGATAATATTCAGAATAACACTGATTTTTATATTTTAGTTATGTAACATATACACACCTAACTTTAGATTTTTCTACAATTTTTTCACTTGCACACATACATAACTAATTAAACTAGAATTTTTTATATTATTCTTTTGACTGTCGATTGTCTGATCTTCATACACACACATACCAAGACAACTAATAAACCTTGAATTTTCTATCTCATGTATATTATGTGACCACTGCAGTATCTATTTTGTAAATAGATCAATACGAAAAACGATAAGTATGCATACACCTATCTACGAGATGATCAATTTTGGTGTCTATAAAAAAAAAAAAAAAAAAAAAAAAAAAAAGAAAAAGAAATTGGCCATACATAAAATGACAAACCTTAAACGTTTTCATATAATAAGCTACGCGAACGAAGCTATCGCTTAAAGTGACGAACAAAGTGATTCATCATGTCTTTTACATCCTCCCCAAAACCACCCTCTGATTGATCACGACGTATTGCGGATAAATAATCGTTCCCTTCTAAGAAGAGAAAAAGATGCGTCTGATCGTAAATCTCTATCTTCCGCTCTCTCTCTCTTTCTCTCTCTCTCTCTCTCTCTCTCTCTCTCTCGTTTCTTTGGAAAGGGAAAGATACAAAAACGTAGAAGTGTTCTTCTATGGTATTTTGCACGAAAAATAAAATAAAAATAGAAAAATAAAGAACAAATTCTCTCCATTTTTTTTTTTTGCTTGCGCGTGTGTTGTGTGTGTGTGTGTGTATGTGATATAATTATCTCTAATTTGTAAAACGATAAAAATTTATCTACGTTCGAGATGATTGGTTACAATAAAAAAAAAAAACAAACTACCCATCGAAATAAACAAATTGTAAGGATAATTGAAAAAAAAAAAAACATCGACGCGAATTTTAAACGTAAAAATATTTTATGTAAATTAAAAATATATTATCATTATTAAAGTATTAGTATTATTACACTCCAAAGTGTATTTAAAAGTAGTTATAAACTTTACGTAAACGAACACACATAATGATAAATTTTATTCGAGCATGTAAATTAATAAATCATTTATTTAAATAGATTTTATATCCAATTAACATATGTTGTATTATGGAATATTTTGAAAGTTCTAACTTAGAACAAAAGCACCGGGGGCGTTGAAACCTGCAAAAGCTTTGAATACGCGCATACGTGTATACACACTAACTTACGTGCATAGATATGTGTAGTATCATATATATGGGCTGTAGTAACGCGTCTTTGGTTAACCATAAGTACATTCGAATCGACGATGAACCATAGTCCTCTACATCCAACAAAGGAATTTTCTAGCTAAACGAGGAAACTAACAACGCGTGTAAGTACATACCTGGTACTAACCTTACTAATACAACCGCACACTGATATATAAATCTTTACTATATTAATTCCTTCTAATTAACCTCTTGTATTTTTTGTTTTAAAGAGAAAGAAAAAGAACAAAGAAAGAGAAATTTCGTTTTTGCTTTCTATAATTTTTCTCTTCAAATTTAAAAATAATTTCTTCTTATATAT